AAAATAAAAAGCTATGTCAACGGTTCGCGTAATAAAGTACGACGATAAATTTATTTAGTTTTAAAATGCAAAATTAGAGAAGAAATTTGGAGATATTTCTTAAAATAAGAATACTGTATATTTACTTTTCTATATTCACGCGCATTTTTGCATTACACAAATTGTAAACAGGAGCTCGGAGTAGGCATTTTTATAAATTAAAATTAGACGAAGAGAAAAGAAAACCATTTTCACAAATACCAGTAGTAAAGTTGCATTGTGACGATAGAAGTGTCATTTTGATGTCACCGGTAGCAGTGTGATACTCTCTGTTACCTCTATTGTAGTATTTGAGATATTAGTTTCAAGAATTTTCGAGACAAGAAGCTCTTTTATGATATACACATTCTCACAAACTTTATATATTATGGAAAGTAAACCTTCAAAAGTGTTTGCAAGAGATAATAAGAAGGTTCCTAAATGAGGCAAGTTACGCGTATAAACTAAATTTAATTATAATTATCTTTATAGAGAATTATATAAGCGTATCAATAAAAAGTTTATTTACTGTTTATATAATGATAAAATGATTATTAAGCAACACAATTATTCAATAGAATGTGCAATTTGTTACATTACTCTTAATTATTATGAAATATTAATTTAAATGACTGAAAGTTTTAATTTCAATTACTATATTTTAATTTAAATTTTAAAGTATCTTTTCAGTCCACAAACAACAAATTATAACATTATTCTGTTTACTAAATGTGTTATTGTAATGTTTCTGTTATTCTGTTTAATAAGTTACACAACGTTGTTACACAACCTGTCCGAAAACTAAACCTTTAGCACAAACAGTCTATAGAGTAGTACCGATCTGAGAACCATGCTTTAATGTAATTTAAACAAGGTTAATGATGCGTACCGAAAACATTTTATGAAAAGTGTTTAATATTAAAGCAGTTTGTATACTGGATTTTTGTTTTCATCTAACAACTTAAAATATTTAGAGAAATCTCTATTAGTAACCCGATACTGTATTTTCCAATTTCGCTAAAACTTTTACTTCAAAAAATGCACTGAAATACAGTATACGCAGCAAATAGCGTTATTTGTATCAAAATATAAAGTTATAAAAAAATAATAATTATAAAATATGTGGTAAATTTCAGTTGAATTTTTCCTATTGAATATATTCGAGCAATCTTGTATGACAGATGCTCCCGCTAAAGGAAAACATCAACTAGAAGATAAATACTTTTCTGTGGTCTTCTAAGCGAGTAATCATTTATTAAAACATTTATTATTATTATATTACAAATCTCACACAGCAAAAAACTTCACAATAATGATTAAACTATTATTATTATTTATTAAATATAAATAAGATGTTTTTGAATAATAATTAATTAGTGAATATTTTTTATGATAAGATCATGTAGTTCCTGTAATAAATATTTTTTTAATCTGAAAAAGCAATGTTTAATGTCCTAAAATATTTGTTAAAAAACCTTCTAAAATGTAAGAGGCACGTTTTTTCTTAATGTACAGTGCAGTACATTAAGAAAGTCGAGTATATTATCAAACAATAAAATGTCACCTTGGGACAAAAATCTTTAAGGTAGAATTTCTTCAATTATTCACGATAAAAATTTATTATTATTTAATTCTAATAATCGTTCCTCTGTATATAATCATTAATTAATGAACCATTACTTATATTAACTCTTAAATTATCACTCTCCTGGAACTGTTAGCGGGTGGGGGACGGAACAATCTTACACCGTTGGCTGTCGAACTTTTACAATTCCGTGCTCAACACCAAACCATTAAAAAAATATATAGATATAACAAGAAATCCAACTAATTGAGATGGAAAGAAACAAACAACCATATTTGCGCTAGAACCGCCGTACGCTTCTAAAGACTCAATATGGCGACTTCCGCAATGCATCACGATATCGTGTCCAGATCTTGTGTTTATAAACCTTGGTTCTGCTTGTTAGCGGTGAGGGCGCTGCCAACATTTTTCGAGAGTGGCATATACGGTCTTTAATCTGTGGACTGGCGGCACTTTTGGCGGGGTCCAAATCTTTATTGTGGCTTTAACGGATATAAAATATAACGTGGACGAATTTAAGAGACCGTTACCGCCCCAAAGCCGCACTCGATACGCCCGTCAGATTTTTAAATCGTATTGATTGTAGGTAAAACTATGGGTGGAATGACCCGCCAAATTTTGCAATTTTCCCGTTTACTTGGCGTTAGTAACACTTAAATTGGGGCCGGATTCCTTCAGAAAGTCCTCCCGGTAGGAAGGTCCCCGCCTGTCGCCTCGCCGTATACAAATACAACGAACCGAAGAATACTGTGAAAATTCGGACGCAAGTGTGAATTTTCGCACTTTGTGTACTGCGTCACATCGAAGGTGACTTTAATCGTTCGAAGAAGGACTCTCCTCACACCAGGGGATCGTTCCAGTCTCACGTAGATATAAGGTATAGAGTAACCAAAAGGTCACCGACAAGGCTAAAACAAAATCCCATACTTCCCTCAAGTCCGAGCGACGAGGAAGTCGATCTAAATGACCAAATAAGGCGATGATTTTTCCAAGGGGGTGAGACGTAGTCTGACACGATTCACCTGACGTCAATAAATCAAGGAGTTTGACAAATTTATGATGGGAAGATGTCAATTATTGGAAGGAAAGGATGACATAAACACAGCTATACGCGAGTCGAGCTGGCGATTGCATCAGATTTTCTTCCCCCATGATTCCCCTCCGAAATAAATATAAAAAGAGGTCGAATTTGCACCTCCGGGCGGACAGCCCAAGAGGATCTCTAAAGTCGGAGATCAACGGAGCGTACACCCTCTTCGGACATAGCCGAGCGGACATCCAGGGACATCAGTTCCATACTGCCATACCATCCATCGCTCCATATCGCCATCCAAGGGAACTTGGCCGATTCCAGCGCGTCCTACCAACGCCCTATACGAAGAGATCGAATCCTACGAGGTAAACCCATGCCCGAATTTTGTCTCTCTCTCTAAAACGTCCCTCTTAGAGAAGTCTGTCTCGATCTTTAGTTTAGGATAGTACGTAGATATAGAATATATTCCTTTTTTATTTACGCGTGTGTTATTTATGCTTTTTCCTTTGATATGTATAATCTCTTAGTTGTTTATTAAATATATTGTTATGGTTCAACCTGTGTAGTTATTTGGATACCTCGTCACGACATCGCGACCCCTCCCCACTCATTTTTGCCCTCCCAAGCCATCCGACAAACCGAGAGCGGGTTTTACCAACCCGTACAGATTAAGTGGGTGGAAAATTTTATAAGTAATTTTCTAATCGTTATTTCTTATTACTCTTTCGGAAAAAGTTTTTGTAGACAGTTATGTCTAGTAAAGAAAAGTCTTTTTTTATTGTTAAATAATTAATTTTCTATGTGAATTATTTTTCCTGGTAGTTATAGGCTAGTTTTTGGCGATACCCCTTAAAATTATTTGACGACTATAGTCACTGCCATACGATCGCCCTCGACGACTATAGTCGTCGGTCACTGCCGAGCGATTAAGTGGTCACTAGGGATCATCCCAGTATCCCCCTGCTACCTCACAAGACGGCGTATAACCCGACACTGTAGTCTTCGGTTCGTTGTATTTGTATAAGGCGAGGCGACAGGCGGGACCTTCCTACCGGGAGGACTTTCCGAAGGAATCCGACCCCAATATAAGTGTTACTAACGCCAAGTAAACGGGAAAATTGCAAAATTTGGCCGGATGGCCGAGCGCTCTGGGGGACCCGCGATCGAGTCCGGACGGACGAAGAATTCCCCAGGAATTTTTCGGGGGGTGGTGACAATGTTTTACCAAAGCTCAATTTTGAGAGCGGAGACAAGTTTTATGTTAAAAAAAAGAAAGTTGTAAATGCCAATAAGCGGGAAAATTTTCGTAAAGTCCGATTTCACTCCAGATACGACAGATAACTCCTCGACCTTTAACCCCCGAATTATAATAGCATCCATCCCCTAATACCCCACTTTCACCGAAATTTCGTAAATTTTGGACTAAAGACGCGGGACTATTTCCTTTATTTTTGCCGGGGTTGATATCTAATATAACACACGGGATAGGCATTGGTTTTGTATTCTCATACAATTTTCATAAATGCGAAAAAGCCAATCCGATAACGGCAGTGGAGGTTCAACGTCGGCCGGGTAAATGGAAGGAGCGATGGTCCGCGCCGACATCGGAGAGTGCGTCACGCGCCTAATTGCGTGACGTGGAGGCGGAGTTACCGGCCCCGGCGGATGGAGCAGGCGCTTTCCGTCTTAATTAGCATCAAAAACCGTTTTGACATTTGATAATTGACGAGGCGAAAACGTCCTTCTCCCCTTCTACCGTTTTCCCACAAATTTCTGTAAAAATCCAAGACGGAAAAATAAACGAAAAGTGTATTTACCGCCCAATTTATCCCATTATCAAAGGCGCAGATTATTATTTACGTAATTACCATAAATTTTCGTACGATTAATTCGGATCTCCTCTCAACTACCGTCTTTTAATACGTTTACGATTAAAACTTTGCCAATTAATTGGGTAAAAATGCGGAACCCACGTAATTATAATCTACCGTTATTAAGCTAAATTAATTTTAAAATGGGATTAAAGGTCATTTTTCCCGGTTAATATTACAGCGCAATTTAACCGTTAACAATTTTAGTAATCGGTTACCCGGGCGGAAAGATCGAATTTTGGAAACCGCCGATTGGATTTACCGCATCAAACGTATTTTATTAAGGGTACGGGAACGAATACTATCACCCGGATAAAGTTACGGGATTAAAAATTTACGCGCCTTATTCGGAAGGCGAAAAATATTCAAATATTTTACGTGTTTACGTACACGACCGTAGATGGAAAAAACTTATCGATTTACCGGCGGAGACTTTTAAAATGTTGGAAAGTTTTGGTGGTGGAGGGTTCTAACGAAGCGCTTTTGTTTTCAGTTTGTTCGAAACTCACCCCGACGTGCAAGAAGTGTTCATGCCCTTCCGAGACCTGACGCACGAGGAGTTGAGCAGAAGCACGGACCTTCGCGCTCACGCCCTGAGAGTGATGGGATTCGTACAGAAGATCGTGGCTCGCCTGGACGAACCGGAAAAGGCCGAACAGTTGCTGGGCGACTTGGGAAAGAAGCACGTCATGTACGGTGCCAAACCCGATTACGTCGACGTAAGAATACATTTGCCTTCGTTGAATGTAGCGGTAGTACTTAAGATTTTATATTATTTAATCGTTATAATTATTATACCAAAGAAACCGCCGATTTAATTAAACCACTCCCAGATATCCTTTGGCTTATCGAGTAATGATAATTCTAAGCGGCGACTTTTGGTAAATTAGCCAAATTAATCCGCATAAACATATCCGCGTTTATCGGAATCCGTCCGATACGTAGTTCGGTGACAATTACGGTTTGGATAGAGCGGGCGTAAAATTTTTATACGTAAATTTCTGTCCCGAAATATATTTTCGTCGTATTTTCGGGCAAGAGGAGCTAACGCTTCTAACCGGGAGTGGAGAACGGAGGCGGTCTCCACAAAGACTCCGGACTTTTTCTAATTCGACGGCCGTTTGGCCGTATTACGCCACTACGGTATTTAAGAAAATTCTGCCGGGTGAAACGAATAAGTTACGCAGCTATTATTTAGACCCTTAATTTAAAGAATAATTTTTTGTAAATTTAATACACTAAAAGAGACGTATGTTTAATTTTCAGCTGATCGGCCCTCAATTCGTTTACGCAGTTAAACCGTCTTTAGAAGACCATTGGACGAACGAAATCGAGGAAGCTTGGCTTCAATTATTTCGTTTCATCGCCTATTGCATGAAGGAATCCATGACGGAATGTTCTCGTCCGGCTCAACAATAAGGCGCTGGCAGACTGGGGAAAAGTCGTCCTTTATTTAAGTCCGTTGACCGCCTACTCGAAACAATTTTCGTTTTTAGCGGGTTATGTCGTCACGTGTCGTCGCGTAATTCGTGGTGTAAGCCGTCGTACGTTTTCGGTTAATAATACGGTTTATCGAAATGCGTTAAAACGTCCGAAAACGGCCAGTGCGGACGTTTAACGGCTGCGGTGCCAATTATTTACGTTATACGCGCCATTTAATATTTTTACCTGTAAAAAAAGAATTACGCCGTGGAATTTCCTTATTCTAGTTACGTGCGTGTGAAAAGCGTAATAAAATTATTTTTCAATCGCATCCGTTTCTTTGTCGTCGTTCCGGTGTTAAACGAAAGGTGTACGGTATCGCGCCGGTCGCACTAAATCTAAACTTATAAAAGCCATACGGGAAGGCGTTATACCCGAGACAAAATTCGCCGGAGAAAAGGTCAAAGGTAAAAGGAGACGTAGCTACCGAGCGGAGAATGACTTTTCGGCCTTGGCTTTCTACGGATTATTATAGAAATCCCGAAGTGGTGAAAAAATGCCATAATAGCAAAAAACGAAAGAGAGAGAGATCGAAGTGGCGGCATAAACGTCGAAAACAAAACTTCTGTAGGATGAAAGTAACGTCGGATCAAATACGCATTCTTTTCATTATCGGAATAAAAACTAGACGTATTTTTTTAATTTTCTGTATTAAAAGACGAAAAGGCAATTTAATTCTTTAATTTATATAATTATCGAACTGTTAAGACGCGGCGAATTAGAATAACGCGGAAAGAATTAATAAATCGAGCCTCTTTCGTTATCCGGAAGAAGGAAGATGGTCAATAAAAATACAATAGCGTATTTAATTCTACGGAAAGGACGAAATAAACTTGTTACATTTTTCGTTTATTTTTTGGTCCGTTACTAAAGAAGAGAATTAATCTGGCGGCCGATTAGTCGCACTTAAGTCCACGACTTATTTAAATGCCATAAACAATACTAGTTGTAGGACTATATAAAAATAATTTCTTTAAGTTTTCACCAAAATAGAAAACGGAAAAACTCCTCACGCCGTTAAGTCCAGCCTTTCCTACAGAGGAATTACGAAATTTATATACAGTACATATCTACTTACGATATTCGGCCAGGTTAAGTAAGACGGGCTAAAAATTCGCGATTATTTATAACCGGTATATTTCTTTTAATAATGAAAATTAAACGCGTCTGACATTTAATTTCTCGGTGAACGAGGGTGGAAATAAGCGCGTTTAAAGTAAATTTATTCCTTCGTCCGATAACCGGACGGCAACGAACGTACGAAAATTCTTCGCATAATTTGGAAAGGTTCCCCGACCGCCGAGAAACCGCGGCCGTTATTTTCCAGTGGCCGTGGCAAAGAACGTTTTATTTCCGCGGGCGTCGGGCGGCAATCCGGACGGAAAAAAGTGTCAGATTTACGAGAGCAATTTGTAGAAATCCGACGACGGACGACGGAAAATAATCCTTTAAAGCCTACCGCGCGCGGCCAAAGATTTATCGCCGGCAAACTGCCACATCTCGCTAACGGTGGTGAGGTCGGGGGTACCTTCCCACCTCCTTTCTCGTTTCTCCTGTATTATCGACCGGGTACAAAAACGAGCCGCCAGTCGGAAAATAAACTCGACTGACAGAAATATAAGAAAATAAATAATTTGAAAAGAATCGCGTGGAAACTTAAGAAAGAGTAATTTTATATACTGGAAGGATTTCTTTCGCTACGTACGTAAATTTTGCGCGGACGACCGTTTACGGTGGTAAATTAACTGTAAAATTATAAAGGCGGTTAAGTAAAACTACTTTAACGTAGTAAAAACGAATTAAGACGTTCGGTGCCCGGTGGAAACAGATTTTCCAGTCTAATTAATGTCTTTATCGAACGGTAATAATTTCCCATTCCTCGCCCCTTTTGGACAGGGCCACGAAACCGGCAACGATTCGGTTTACCGACGAAAATCGGCAGGACGGAGAAAGCGTCGGAAATGCCAAAAGCCACATTCGTCATCCGCTCTGGTGCCTAACGATTCCGCGCGTAAATTGGAGAAGGGAAGGTCAATTTCGCCCTAAGACGCCTAACAATTTAGAAACATTTTGAAATTTAAATTAGTAAATTGATTCCTCTGTAATTAACTTTGCGGTTTTCGGTTATTCCTATTTACCCACCATTCGTCGTAACCTCGCAATTTCCAAGGTCGACTTTTTCTTCCGCTTCCGTTTTCCACCCCTTAATATAGGCTATGTATACGCATCCTTCGACCAGAGTGAGACGAGGATTCGGAAAATAGCTTTTCCTTTGGGAAAATCATATTTTCAACCGACGAATTGAATGTCGATAATACGAAAAGCGATTTCTTTTATTAGTTTCGAAGAATCGATACTTTTATGTTAAAACGAAGTTGTGTACTCCGTTACAAATGTTTACTTACGTAAGAAGTTTGAAAGAAAAAATCGTACCGCAATTCTTCCCCGTCTGGCGGTAACCGTGCGAATTTAATTGAAATGTTATCCGTCCTACAATTTGCATTTTTCTTCTCGTTTAAATAAAAAACACTCCTCTCGACCACCGACTTTCGAAGGAACGTTAATTAGATTTAACCTCTTAAAAACGTAAAATTTCCAAGCGTGTGTTTTGATAAAGTATTTTCGGGTTGGCCGGTTATCCGTAACAATTAATCTTTACCTGGAAAAATACGCCCAAGCTTTAACCTTCTACCTTCTTCTTCCGGCAGAATTTCTTCCGGAAATCCCGAAGGACGTCTTGTTTACTTCCACATCCTTTCGTACGAAATGTTTACGTTTTGCCAGCCGATATTCTGCCTTATTCGACATAAAATAAGCATAAAAATAAATTACGCCCATTAAAACCCTTTCGAATAAATACTTTTACCGTAACTATTACTCTAATAAACGAAACTGCTCTTTTTTTACGGCTGGTTTACTTAATTCGACGTAAAAAACCGTAAAAAATCTACACGCATTTTATTGTTCCAACGGTAAATTTATTTTCTGACTTTTTGTAAGAACTTAGAACGATATAAAAAAAAACCGAGACAAAAAGAATGTATCGATACTCGCAAATCCAGCGAAAGTAATATTTGTGACTTTTTATTTAGAAAAGAAAACCTTGGTCAAAGATTACATTTGTCGCCTTTATCTTATTTGAACTTCCGTTCGCTCGTACTCCAACAAATCATTTATCATTTATTTATTTTCCAGAAGTTTTGTTAATTATTGAGAAGACGTCGGCCGTCTTTAACTAATCGTCTATCAATAGAATAAAAAATGGAAAAATCGACTGGGTACGGGAGGTAGCGCGGTAAGAATAGAATGCCGACAATTAATTTCCAAGTACGCAACGAAAGATGCGAAATATTTTAATACAATGGCATTTCCGCTTTCCTAATTACATTGTTTAGTTAATTATATCGCCACTAGAAAACTTTTCTACACTTTACTATAATTAATAATCTAATTACCGATGCGGTCGACGATATAAAGTAATATCGTTAGTACCATTCAAACTCTGGCCGTTTTGTTAAATGCTCGATTATTTTACCAGAGAGGAAATTAACCGGGTTTTACTAATTTTCAGTCTTCGATTTAAATACCGCGGATAAAGAAAATATTTTAAAAATAAATGACAGGCGGGAAACACTTTGCCATCTCGACAAAACTAAGAAATTTTAAAATAAAAATTTAATTACTTAGTTATTTCAAATGCGATTAGTTTAATCATTTTTACTAATATTTTTTAATGTAACAATGCGCTTTACTCTGGAATTTAAATTAATAGGAAAACTTTGTAGCGAGATGAAAAATTCTATTAAATTCTTGTTAAATTCTGTAGAATTTAACAAGGGAAGACACAAAGTTCTCGGTAAGCTTGGTAAAACTGCGAAATTTTAAGACGAAAAGTTAAGTTTAAGTTTATTTAAGTCACCGGTCGACTTCTTTCAAAAAGGATTAAATGAATGTATTTTTTAAAAACAATTTTTCGCCCGGAATTTAAGTAAAAGGAAAACGTTGACAAAGAAAAAATTCATTATAGAATTTAAATAACCCAATTGGTTTTTTCTCCCGTTAAAAATAACAAGGTGTCACCTTTCTAATTTACTCGGTTCGATTTTTCCGCGCTTTCCACCAGTTCGTAGGCAGACAATTATCAATATTTTGTTCGGTCTGACGACAAAAAACTAACTTTTTCTTCCAATTTATTTACGCGGTGAATCATTCAAATTCCCAAATATATTCTATTTTACCAAAGAAATGTTTTTATTATTAATGCTGAATATTTAGAAATATTCTACGAAAAAACATTTTGAAATTTAAATCAATAATATAAAATACGAAGTAAATAAAAAACCGCATTGACTTATTAAACTAGAATTTTTATATTTACGCGTGGAAAGTTTTTCCGTCTTTTCGGAAAGGAGGAGGCGTTGGCAGTAAAATCCACCTTACCGCCACCCTTCCACTGGGTTTGCCACGAGAAACTGCCTCATTTTTCCTCCTAAAAATCCCAAAAGGGTCCGACTAAATTCCACCCACCCCGTCGGCCCCCGGGACCGGCTCGGACTAAACCCGGGCCTCTATCGACCCGAGAGACGAGTTTACCTACGCGACTCATCCAGGGTCCGGGCCTAGGCCCCGCCCGGTTCTCTACTCCCGGGTAGAAGTCCCCTAATCCTATAAAACCCGTCGTTTACGATAGCGGGAGGGAAATGCCTTCCGGGAGATCTTTTATGAGAAACCTCCCCTTATTTAGGCGTAGAAGTTCAATCTATTTTAAATTAACGTGGCTTAAATTTATACTATTTAATCTATATAAATCTGTAAAATTTTTCTTTAATTAAGTAATATACGGTCAAACCTCGGATTTCCAACTCATCCCTTTCACGAGAATTCGGTTTACCAACAAAATTTTGAACGACGTAACGGTACGAGCCCGATTGAAGATAAACCAAATTAGTTAATAAAAACCGCGTTAATTGACATTGGCACGATATAAATGACATCCACCAATCCGTGTTTAAAAGTGTTTAACTCAACTTAAAATACAAAAGTTTTTTAATATTATAATACTGTATTAATATTTAACTCGATATACATTAATACTAAATAGCCAGTTAATTAAAACTAAAATAATAGAATAATAACTAACAGTCTGATCGTTACACCAAAACTGAAACCGAAAGTAAAATTAAAATTAGATGAAAATTGATTAATTTATTACATTGAAATCAAATCAATTGAAAG